GCTATCTGTCTGGCACGTAGAGAAGTCATGTACGTGCGCGGCGGCCACGCACTGGCGCGCGCCTGCCAGGGCGACCGCGCGGGGCGCCGCAACAAGCTCCGCACCGGCCCGGACTGCTGCCGCCGCGGGCACCTGGCGAGGGGCCGAGCGCGGAGGAGCCGCACGGCGACGGACTGGGCAACGACAGCCGCCGGCCAGCAGACGTCTATGTCCCCCAAGGGGGCTCCCAGCCGCCGTGGACTTAGCGGTGGCGTCGGGCATGCGCGCCGACCTCATCGTGCACTCCGTCGCCGACAGAGGTGCCGCCCTCGGCCGGCACGAGGAAGACGAACGGCAGCACCGAGACAAGGCGCAGACCTGTCTGGACGCCGACCTCGCCTTCATCCCGATGGTGGTGGAGGCGCACGGCGGGGGCTTGGGCGGCGAGGCACGACGAACCTTCGCTGTGCTGGCCAAGCGCGTGGCTAACGGACGCGAAGAGGCCGCCAGCGTGGCGGACAGGATGGCCCAGAGACGCTGTCTCCCTCCAGCAATCCACGCGCAGGGAGAACGCGCGGGCCATCATGCAGCGGCTGCAGAAACAACGACCAGGGGCGACCGCGGCCCGCCTCGGTATGTGTGAGTGAATGTGTGTCTGTGAGTGAGCGTCAGTGAGAGAATATGTATTTCATACTGAGTCTGTATGGGTGAATCTCAATATGAAATCGAATGGGTCTGAGGTCTGAGTGTCAGCCAATTTGAGTGTGTGTGCGTGTGGGTAAGTGAGCGATATGAATATAGAAGGGTCTGAATCTGAGTGGGCCTGAGTGTGGAGGATGCCCCACCTCAGGATATGTGGAACAAGGAGGACAAAGAGGCTGAGGAAGATGTGAAGGAGGCGGAGGCGCATAAGCAGTAACGAGAACCCCATGTCAGGATATGGGGGAACAACCAGTCCCGGGGGAAGGGTCGGCACTCACCCCAGACAGCAAAAGTCTATGGCCAATGGAATCACTGGGTTCTCTGCTAACCCTTGCTCCTCGGCTCTTCAGGGTCGGGACTTCCGGGGACCGCACATTGAAGCAAACAAGGCGTCGCATGTTTGGGGGCGAAGCCAGGACCAGGGAAAAATTGTACAGGGAAAGAGGGAGAGAGAGAGAGAGAGAGAAAACAAAGTATCCCGGCAAAGCAACCTAACAGCGATGTGTAGGAGCATATCTGGAAGCATTCCCCTTAAGATTCGGATGAGAATCCAGTTGTAGAATTCTGCTGTTCTCGCAGTCGTAGTCGCATTCGCGATGACAGTCGCAGTGGCACGGCAGTCGCACACCCTCAGTCACAGCCCCTCAGCCTCAGCCTGATGAAGTCGCCCAACTACGCTCATGCCATCAGCCTGCCTTTCGCGCAGCCTGCCTCAGCCTCAGCCTCAGCCTGCTTCGCCTCAGCCTCATTCTGCCTTCGCCTCGGCCTCAGTCCCTCACCTGGCCTCAGCCTAGCCTGCATCAGCCTCAGCCCTCAGCCTCAGCCTCAGCCTGCCTCAGCCTCAGCCTGCATGAGCCTCAGCCTCAGCATCAGCCTGCCTCAGCCTCAGCCTCAGCCTGCCTCTGCCTCAGCCTCAGCCTGCTTCAGCCTCAGCCTCATTCTGCCTTCAGCCTCGGCCTCAGCCTCAGCCTGCCTCAGCCTCAGCCTGCATCAGCCTCAGCCTCAGCCTCAGCCTGCATCAGCATCATCCTGCCTCAGCCTCAGCCTCAGCCTGCCTCAGCCTCAGCCTCAGCCTGCTTCAGCCTCAGCCTCAGTCTGCCTTCAGCCTCGGCCTCAGCCTGCCTCAGCCTCAGCCTGCATCAGCCTCAGCCTCAGCCTCAGCCTGCCTCAGCATCAGCCTGCCTCAGCCTCAGCCTTAGCCTGCCTCAGCCTCAGCCTGCCTCAGCCTCAGCCTCAGCCTGCTTCAGCCTCAGCCTCAGTCTGCCTTCAGCCTCGGCCTCAGCCTCAGCCTGCCTCAGCCTCAGCCTCAGCCTGCATCAGCCTCAGCCTCACCTGCTTTAGCCATCAGCTTGCTTCAGCCTCGAGTTTTATAGCTTGTCCCCTAGCCTCAGCCTCAGCTCTGCCTTTATCCTCACAGCCTGATGGGCTCAGCCTCGGCCTCAGCCTCAGCTGCCTCACCTCAGCCATCGATCCAGCCTCAGCCTGCATCAGCCTCAGCCTCAGCCTCAGCCTGCCTCAGCATCAGCCTGCCTCAGCCTCAGGCTCAGCCTCAGCCTGCCTCAGCCTCAGCCTCAGCCTGCTTCAGCCTCAGCCTCAGTCTGCCTTCAGCCTCGGCCTCAGCCTCAGCCTGCCTCAGCCTCAGCCTGCATCAGCCTCAGCCTCAGCCTCAGCCTGCCTCAGCATCAGCCTGCTTCAGCCTCAGCCTCAGCCTCCCTCAGCCTCAGCCTCAGTCTGCTTCAGCCTCAGCCTCAGTCTGCCTTCAGCCTCGGCCTCAGCCTCAGCCTGCCTCAGCCTCAGCCTGCCTCGGCCGCAGCATCAGCCTGCCTCAGCATTCACATGTGCCCAGGAATGGAGTTCTGGGAACTCGAAGAGCACGAATGGCCTACAGTTGGCTCCGGCATCCAAAATGTGGCCCGGGAATGGAGTTCTGGGAAATCGAAGAGCACGAAGTGGCCTACAGTTGGCTCCGGGCATCCAAAATGTGGCCCGGGAATGGAGTTCTGGGAAGTCGAAGAGCACGAAGTGGCCTACAGTTGGCTCCGGGCATCCAAAATGTGGCCCGGGAATGGAGTTCTGGGAAGTCGAAGAGCACGAAGTGGCATACAGTTGGCTCCGGGCATCCAAAATGTGGCCCGGGAATGGAGTTCTGGGAAGTCGAAGAGCACGAAGTGGCCTACAGTTGGCTCCGGGCATTCAAAATGTGGCCCGGGAATGGTGTTCTGGGAGGTCGAAGACCACGAAGTGTGTGACTGTTTGCGAACAACGAGTTCGGACACACGAGTTCTGGACACAGCTCCCCGATAGCCGCCTCAGCCCCCCCGCATGGTGGAGTCCCATCTGCTGCTTCTCATTTTGAGACACTAGAACCTATCAGTCTTCGCTTTAGGTAAAAAAACAATATCCCGGCAAAGCAACCTAACAGCGATGTGTAGAAGCATATATGGAAGCATTCCCCTTAAGATCCAGATGAGAATCCAGTTGTAGAATTCTCCTGTTCTCGCAGTCGCAGTCGCATTCGCGATGACAGTCGCAGTGGCAACGGCAGTCACAGTCACAGCCTCAGCCTCAGCCTGCCTCAGTATCAGCCTGCCTCAGCCTCAGCCTCAGCCTGCTTCAGCCTCAGCCTCAGTCTGCCTTCAGCCTCGGCCTCAGCCTCCGCCTGCCTCAGCCTCAGCCTGCATGAGCCTCAGCCTCAGCCTCAGCCGGCCTCAGCCTCAGCCTGCCTCAGCCTCAGCCTCAGCCTGCCTCTGCCTCCGCCTCAGCCTGCTTCAGCCTCAGCCTCAGTCTGCCTTCAGCCTCGGCCTCAGCCTCAGCCTGCCTCAGCCTCAGCCTGCATCAGCCTCAGCCTCAGCCTCATCCTGCCTCAGCATCAGCCTGCCTCAGCCTCAGCCTCAGCCTGCCTCAGCCTCAGCCTCAGCCTGCTTCAGCCTCAGCCTCAGTCTGCCTTCAGCCTCGGCCTCGGCCTCGGCCTGCCTCAGCCTCAGCCTGCATCAGCCTCAGCCTCAGCCTGCCTCAGCATCATCCTGCCTCAGCCTCAGCCTCAGCCTGCCTCAGCCTCAGCCTCAGCCTGCTTCAGCCTCAGCCTCAGTCTGCCTTCAGCCTCAGCCTCTGTGCCTCAGCCTGCCTCAGCATCAGCCTGCATCCGCCTCAGCCTCAGCCTCAGCCTCAGCCTGCCTCAGCATCAGCCTGCCTCAGCGTCTGCCTCAGCCTGCCTCAGCCTCAGTCTGCCTTCAGCCTCAGCCTCAGCCTCAGCCTGCCTCAGCATCAGCCTGCCTCAGCCTCAGCCTCAGCCTCAGCCTGCCTCAGCCTCAGCCTGCCGCAGCGTCTGCCTCAGCCTGCCTTCAGCCTCGGCCTCAGCCTCAGCCTGCCTCAGCCTCATCAGCCTCAGCCTGCCTGCCTCAGCCTCAGCCTCAGCATCAGCATCACCATTCTCAGCCTCTGCATCAGCATCAAAATGTGGCCCGGGAATGGAGTTCTGGGAACTCGAAGAGCACGAAGTGGCCTACATTTGGCTCCGGGCATTCAAAATCATGCCCAGGAATGGAGTTCTGGGAACTCGAAGACCACGAAGTGGCCTACAGGTGGCTCCGGGCATTCAAAATGTGGCCCGGGAATGGAGTTCTGGGAACTCGAAGACCACGAAGTGGCCTACAGTTGGCTCCGAGCATCCAAAATGTGGCCCGGGAATGGAGTTCTGGGAAGTCGAAGAGCACGAAGTGGCCTACAGTTGGCTCCGGGCATCCAAAATGTGGCCCGGGATGGAGTTCTGGGAAGTCGAAGAGCACGAAGTGGCCTACAGTTGGCTCCGGGCATCCAAAATGTGGCCCGGGAATGGAGTTCTGGGAAGTCGAAGAGCACGAAGTGGCCTACAGTTGGCTCCGGGCATCCAAAATGTGGCCCCCGGAATGGAGTTCTGGGAGGTCGAAGAGCACGAAGTGTGTGACTGTTTGCGAAAAACGAATTCGGACACGAGTTCGGACACAGCTCCCCGGATGCCGCCCAGGCCCCCCTGTGGAGTCATCTGCTGCTCTCTTTTGAGACCACTAGAAACCTATCAGTCTTCGCTGTTAGGTAACAAACGCGCGGTACCGCAGGGGGCGGGGCCCGTCAGGGCCTGCGCGGAGGGGCCCGAGCCCTCAGTGCACGTTGTCCTTGTTTGCCGAGGTCGGAGTGCTGAGATCTGAGCTGAGATCTGGCGGCTATGGAGGATGTATCGGGCGCTGGAGCAAAATATCCCAGTCCTGGCCCCGCCCGGGTGAAGGAGGAGGACGTGGAGGAGGAGGAGGACGAGGAGGAGGAGGAGGGGTAAAAGAGGTGCGGGGGAGGAGAAGGAGGAGGGCGAGAAGGACTTTCTTTTTTGACATTGACCACGTCTGCCGACCACCTCACCAGGCAGAGGAAACATCAAGCACCACCCCGTCCTTACGAGGGTGCTTGCCCTTGAGGATAGAGGACGACGACGACGACAAGCCCTAGATGAACTGCGTGTATTGGGAAGTCGAACCTGCTTCAAAAAATTATCCCGGCAAAACAACCTAACAGCGATGTGTAGAAGCATATATGGAAGCATTCCCCTTAAGATTCAGATAAGAATCCAGTTGTAGAGTTCTGCTGTTCTCGCAGTCGCAGTCGCATTCGCGATGACAGTCGCAGTGGCAGCGGCAGTCGCAGTCACAGCCTCAGCCTGCCTCAGTATCAGCCTGCCTCAGCCTCAGCCTCAGCCTGCCTCAGCCTCAGCCTCAGCCTCAGCCTCAGCCTGCTTCAGCCTCAGCCTCAGTCTGCCTTCAGCCTCGGCCTTAGCCTCAGCCTGCCTCAGCATCAGCCTGCCTCAGCCTCAGCCTCAGCCTCAGCCTGCCTCAGCCTCAGCCTGCTCAGCCTCAGCCTCAGCCTGCTTCAGCCTCAGCCTCAGCCTGCTTCAGCCTCAGCCTCAGTCTGCCTTCAGCCTCGGCCTCAGCCTTCACCTCATCCTGCATCACCATCCGCCATCAGCTGCCTCAGCCTCACCCCTGCTCATCCTCAGCCTCATCCTCCTTCAGCCTCCGCCTCGCCCTCAGCCTCAGCCTGCCTCAGCCTCAGCGCTGCTCAAGGCCTCAGCCTCAGCCTGCCTCAGCATCAGCCTGCCTCAGCCTCAGCCTCAGCCTCAGCCTGCTCAGCCTCAGCCTGCTTCAGCCTCAGCCTCAGTCTGCCTTCAGCCTCGGCCTCAGCCTCAGCCTGCCTCAGCCTCAGCCTGCATCAGCCTCAGCCTCAGCCTCAGCCTGCCTCAGCATCACCTTGCCTCAGCCTCAGCCTGCCTCAGCCTCAGCCTGCTTCAGCCTCAGCCTCAGCCTGCCTTCAGCCTCGGCCTCAGCCTCAGCCTGCCTCAGCCTCAGCCTGCATCAGCCGCAGCCTCAGCCTCACCCTGCCTCAGCATCAGCCTGCCTCAGCGTCTGCCTCAGCCTGCCTTCAGCCTCGGCCTCAGCCTCAGCCTGCCTCAGCCTCATCAGCCTCAGCCTGCCTGCCTCAGCCTCAGCCTCAGCATCAGCATCACCATTCTCAGCCTCTGCATCAGCATCAAAATGTGGCCCGGGAATAAAGTTTGGGAACTCGAAGACCACGAAGTGGCCTACAGTTGGCTCCGGGCATTCAAAATGTGGCCCGGGAATGGAGTTCTGGGAACTCGAAGAGCACGAAGTGGCCTACAGTTGGCTCCGGGCATTCAAAATGTGGCCCGGGAATGGAGTTCTGGGGACTCGAAGACCACGAAGTGGCCTACAGTTGGCTCCGGGCATTCAAAATGTGGCCCGGGAATGGAGTTCTGGGAAGTCGAAGAGCACGAAGTGGCCTACAGTTGGCTCCGGGCATTCAGAATGTGGCCCGGGAATGGAGTTCTGGGAGGTCGAAGAGCACGAAGTGTGTGACTGTTTGCGAAAAACGAATTCGGACACGAGTTCGGACACAGCTCCCCGGATGCCGCCCCGACCCCCCTGTGGAGTCATCTGCTACTCTCTTTTGAGTCCACTAGAAACCTATCAGCAAAAGCTGTTAGGTAAAAACGAAAGTTCGACTTCCCAATGCACGAGAGTTTTTTGGGAAGCTTGTTCGACTTCCCAATGCAAGCAGTTCATCGAAGGAGAAGCAGGAGGACGACGACGACGACGACGAGCCCTATCGGAGCATGTCTGGACTCACCACGTACGCGTGAAAAGTCAGCTCCAGGATGAGCTGGGGAGAGGGCGGGGGAGGCAGGAAGAGAAGGGGCATAAACGGGGGGGGGGGAAGACGGGGATGCGCAGGAGAAGGAGGAAGGGAAGGAGGACGAAGACGAGGATGAGAATGAGGACGAGGATGAGGACGAGGACGAAAATGAGGATGGGGATATGGGATGAGGATGAGGAGGATGATGAGGATGAGGATGAGGATGGTGGTGGTGATGATGAAGATGAAGATGAGAATGAGGATGATAATCAGGATGACGATCAGTCAGGATGACGATCAGGATGACGATGAGGATGAGGAGGATGAGTCTGAGTATGATGATGAGGAAGAAGATGATGACGATGATGCTGCTGATGATGATGATGGTGATGGTGATGATAATGAGTATGAGTATGATGATGGTGGGGATGATCTTGATGATGATGATGATGATAAGGATGAGAATGATGAGTGTGATGATGGTAATGGTGGTGATGATGATGACGATGGTGATGATGATGGTCATGATTATGGTGATGATGATGGTGCTGATGATGATGCTGATGGCGATGATTATGATGGTGATGATTATGGTGATGATGATGGTCATGATGATTGATGATGGTGATCATGCTGATGATGGTGACGATGATTACCAGTATGAGTACGAGCATTAGTACGAACATGAGTATGAGCATGAGAATGAGTATGATGATGATGGTGGTGATGATGGTGATGCTGGTGATGATGAGGATGCAGATGATGATGGTGATGATGAGTATGATCATGATGATGCTGATATTGATTATGATGATGACGCTGATGCTGATGCTGATGATGATGATGTTTATGATTATGATGATGGTGCCTGGTGGGTGCTGATGATGATGAAGATGAGGATGATGATGATGATGATGATGATGATGATGATGATGATGATGATGATTATTATGATTATGATGATGATGATGATGATGATGATGATGATGATGATGATGATGATGATGATGCTGCTGATGATGATGACGATGGTGATGGTGATGGTGGTGATGAGGAGCAGGAGGACGATGAGGAGGATTAGGAGGACGAGGAGGAGGAGGAGGAGGAGGAGGAGGAGGAGGATCATGACGAGGAGGAGTGCGACGACGATGGGACAACGAGGAGAACGGGCTCCTCTCCTCCAGGCGCTGCACTGGCGACAGCAGGCAGGCCGCAGGGTGCCCCCGCCGGCAAGCCGCCGCTCAGAGCCCTGAGTCCCCCTCGCCGTCGTCTTCGGCCGCGACCGCGCGCTGGCCCCAGAGGTTGAAGGCGGAGACGAGGACCGGGCGGGGGGGAGGGGCTGGGGCGGGGGCGCAACAGGGGGAGGGAGCGGAAGGAGGGCGGGGGAGGAGAGGGGAGGGGACGGGGACGGGGGGGAACGGGAGGGAGTGCGGGGGGCAGGGAGGAGGGGAGGAGGAGGGGAAAGATTGGAGGGGCAAGCAGAAACGTATGAGGCAGGAGGAGGAGGAGGAGGAGGAGGAGGAGGAGGAGGAAGAGGAGGGGCAAGGGAGAATGGGATCAGCCGACCTCTTCGGGTCCATCGGCGTGTGAGATCTTCCCTGGTCCGGTCGATTTCAGGGCCCCGTAGACCCGGACACGCTAGACCCGGACACCCAACATCCCTCGAAACCAATTTTTCCAAACGGCGGCACGAACAAAATACTGCACTGCAGCATTTTCAGAATAAGCCCGGACACAAGCCTCCATAGCCTGCAAGACCCCCTAAACCCGGACACAATCCCGAATCCTGCAGCGCAGCAAACAAAACATGCACGGGTGCTGAAAAACGTAACTCTGCAGGAAAGGAAGTCGCTTCCTTGGTCTTCCATGTCCTGGTTTATCTGTGTCCTGGTCTCCGGGGGCCTGACGATTTGGAGCGGAATGTACGCCGGGTGATGGCCTGGTAAGGGGGGGAGAGGCGGAAGGGTACCAAGCCGGCGGGGTACTGAGATGACTCTTGGGTTTTGCATAGTTTAGCAAGGATATTAATTATAGCTAAACCATATGTAAACTACTTATATAGCTCCTAAAAACTACTTATAAAGCTCTGACAAACTACTTGTATCTACATGGGGTACATAGGCAGGATGCCAAGAGAAAGCATCTTCCTCTCCAAAGAACGGATCTCTGCTTAAATGACGCCAGGAGAAAGGCACTCATAAGTACATGTATGTGTTTGGCGCGCAGATTGATATAAACTGATATCAACTGATATACAATTCCGCACATATGATGATTGATTTCTTGTCAGTGCGAAACTGATGCACGCTATCCCACATGTTTGAAATTAATTGCATGTCTCAATTTTCATTCGTGCGCATGTTTAATATGATCGCGTGCCCCTTTTCTTTTGTGTCAAACAATAGTGTTTGCGTCGTGCTGTTTATTTATTTCCTTCCGTTATCCAGTTTGGGTTTGTTCGGAGCTCCAAGTTGGGGGAACCCGGTTCGCGGCCACCATCTCGATCAGCAGTTGCAGTCAAATCATGCTGTCGCCGCGGGCCCAATTAATTCATGCGAGGGTACGCAGGGCTCATATCAACAATGGTTGGCGCCAGCACTGAGGTATCATGCACGTATATATTTTGGTAGTTGCATGCGTGGGGCCATCTTCGAACCCTATACTGGGGCCCTGTATAAGAGCTCGCGCGGGTTTTGTGTGGGGGCGCGGGGGGCGGGTGGGCGCGGGGCTGTCCTGGGAGAGCATCGGGGCACCAATTGCGCATAATGTTTCAGCCCCGTCCATCTGGGTTTTCAGAACTGTCTCGGCAGGTGGCTCAGCCCCCCCATCGGGGCTTTTATCGGGCCCCCCTCGGGCCGCACTGTTGCATTTTGGCCTCGCGGGGCTCCCGTTGGCCGTCATCTTGAAGCCTGCAGGGCTTTGTTTTCGAAAGAAAGCCGTCGGGCCATACGAGCCCCCAGGGCTAGACATCTCGAAGCCTCCAGGGCTACATTTTGAAGCCTCCAGGGCTAGACACCTTGAAGCCTGCAAGGCTAGACAACGCGAGCTCCCGACACCGCCGCCCATCAGTCTAAAAATGTTCGAGATCGCTTTGGTTTAGCAGGTGTTCTTTTTGTTTGACGCAGCCGCGACGCTGCGCGCCATGCGAGATGGCCGCGTGTTTGCCCGCGCTGTTCTGCGAGGAGTTTGGCAAGCTCCTAGGGCTGAAGCACAGCGCGAACGAACATTTTCAGAGTTTGATGGCTTGCTTGCGCAGCCACAAGTTGGCGTGCATCATCGAAAAGGTGGCGCCAAAACACTTTTTCACGCATCCGAAGAACACAGGCGGGCTAGTGCTGTCGCCACACAACGCGCGCCGGAATGCTGCCGCATCCACAAAGTCGGAGCGGGCAGCCCTCACTTGCCCAACGCAGCGCGCGTCGAGATTGCGCCGTCTGGCCAGATTCGCGAGGAGCAGTTGTCCAAGAACCGAGCGCTGATTGAGCGATCAGCTGGGTTGCTTGCTCCAATCAACGGTTCTGAGAGGTACTTGAGCTTAGGCTGCGGGCACACTGTTGCATTCTGCAAGACGGCGGCACTTGGCGGCCGCACGTCACAGAAGGTCTTGCAGGTTGCTGGCGGAGACAAAATTGATTTGCAAAATGCGCGTGCAAACAGCGAGTTCAACAAAATGATCGACGACGGCTGGACGTGGGAGATCGCGCCACGCGCCGTGGACGCGGTTCTCCTGAGTTCGCCATCGTAGCCCAAATGGCTCTGAACACACACAGAATCACGTCGGCACCGAGGTCGGCGAGCTGGAGGCCTGCATGACTTTGGTCGGTTCGCTCTGCGACCACGGTTTCAAGCTGCTCCCAAACTGGAGGGAACTTGCTGTCCAAAGCGTGCAGAGTTTGAACATTCCGTCCGCCCAGTATTGCGATACGCTGCTGGAGTTTGTGCCCAATTACGGTGGCGGTGACGATGCGCCTATGACCTGTTTCATGGATGGCGTGGCCAAGGAATTCGGTTGCAATGTGAGTCTGGGCTCGACGTTTTGGCGCGCTCTAACCTACGCGAGTTCCAACACTTCGTGGCAGTCAGCATTCACAGGCTTGGAGACGAACCGCCAGTTTGGGTTGCCGCCCCCATGGATCTTCGCGGCGCGCGCGAGAACGCCCAGGCCGAGCGCCGCCAGCAATCGCGCCGCCAAACAAGCCACGTACATGACAAGGTTCTTCTCAATCGCGGCGGCACCCGTCGCGCGCCCGAGGGCGCGGGTGGTGGAGGTCGAAGACTTATGCTGGAACCGCTGGTCAGTGGTCAGTATGATCTTCATCGCGCCGACGAGGGCGCCTGCGTTGATTCCAAGGCTCACGTACTCCGTGGACCGGAGAATGTCCAGGAGCGGCGGAATTGGGAGGGCAATGAAGAAGTCCAAGTCGGGGTCCTTCCACGAGCGGCCGCGGAGCGACTCGAGGAGCGATAGCAGCTGTTCGCGCGCGGGCGCCGGCGGGGGGCCCATCTCCTCCTGAGTTGACTCCGGCGGCGGTGCCTCGCGCGGAAGGACGTGGCCGGCGCGGGCGAAGTCCAGGAACTCCCACGTCTCCTCGAAGTGGGCGCGCAGGAAGGACGCCATCTCGACCACATTATTGGGGATGGTCGCGGACGGGCCCACGTCGTGGCCCCGCGCCCCTTCCATCCTGAATCCGTTCGCGACGCGGGCTGCCTTGAAGGCGACGTAGTAGGTGTCGAGAAGATGCAGTGATGTGACCAAGCGGTCGAATTTGGCGCGCAGCTTGCCGCGTTTCTTGGACGTCTCCTGCTGGCGCGGCCGGAGGAAGGACTCGGAGCGACATGTGTGAATCAAACTTCTCGTCGGCCGCCCGGGCCGCGCCGTCCGCCTGGTCTGCCTTGTAGGCAGCGCCGCCGCGCTTGAGAGAATTCTGGTGGACCGGGCACGGCAAGGCCGCCAAGGAGTCCTCCGGGGTGTGCGAGGGGACTGGCAGCCTGGCGCAGGCGTCCTCCTCCTCCTCCTTCCCTCCTCCTCCTCCTCCTCCTCCTCCTCCTCCTCCTCCTCCTCCTCCTCCTCCTCCTCCTCCTCCTCCTCCTCCTCCTATTCCTCCTCATCCTCCTCCTCCTCCCCTACTACTCCTCGTGTTCTTCCTTCTCTTGTTCCCCCTCGGCCTCCTAGTCTCCGTCGTCGTCCTCGCCCCCCTCCTCCCCCCTCCTTTCCCCCCCCCCCCCCCCCCCCCCCCCCCTCCCCCGTCCCCCTTTCCTCCGCGTCATCCAAATGCCGCCTCCTCCCTCCAACCTGCTCCTCCTCCTCCTCCCTCCTCCTCCTCCTCCTCCTCCTCCTCCTCCTCCTCCTCCTCCTCTCCTCCTTTTCCTCCTACTCCCCCCGCGCGCCTCCTTCCTCATCCCCATTTTGCAACCGCCTTCTGTTCATCCCTCGCTTTCCTCCGTCCCTTCCTCCCTCTCCTCCTCTCTACTCGAAGTCCCTCTTCCTCCCCCTCCCCTTCCTCCTCCTCCTCCTCCTCCCCCCCCCCCCTCCTCCTCCTCCTCCTCCTCCTGTTCCTCGTCGCCGTGGAGCGATCGAGCGTTGCATTGCGGCTGTGCGTTCCCAGGTTTTTGGCTGGGGCGCGGGGGGCGCACGGGGCCGGGGGATATAAACATGAGAGGGGGATTGCGAATATGGATCGTAATCAGAGGGCGCGGAGAAGGAGGAACAAAGCGAATGCGCGGGGATTGGGGGGGAGAAACGCGCCGACGAGCACGGGGGGGAGGATAAGCGGGGCGGGGACGCGCAGGATGACGAGTGGGACGAGAGAGGCGGAGAGGAAGAGGAGAAGTAACATAAGGAATGCTGTGCAAGACCGAATCATGTGTGAATTTTCACCGCCGCTACAAGATGGCGTCATCCACGATCCTCGCGCACCATCGCGGCCGCGCTGCGCCGCGTCGCAAAACAATGGGGAGAATGGCGGGCGCCGCGTCGCCAGGCCAGGACCAGCGCGCGACTTTCAAAATAATATACATATTGGACGCGGGCGCTGGTGAGGCAAATGACAGCGGGCAGCGCGATGAAATGTGCAAAACCCAAAAGCTCTCGCAATCTGCTAATGTTCCCATCCACCCAGTTTTCAAGATGACCTGAAAACGAAGAATGCTCGCAGATGCGGAAGCCGTCAAAGATCGGCACGCACCAGTGGCCCGCGCGAACACGCTGGGGATGCAAGGGGGAACCTACGAGATGGGAGAGGTACAGCATGCAGAGGAGAACAGGCAGAGAAGCGAATGGTTAAATCCAGCTAGAAATCAGTCCAACGCACACAAGGCGGGAAGGACATAGCTATTGAA